CATATAAGCGAGATATCCAATCATTTTTCATCATGTGAAAAATTTTTTATTCATCTCAAAATTTTCAAAATGAATTTTTTGATTAACACAAGAATATTTTGTCGTGTCACGATCTCCTTCCAAAACCGCAAGTCGTGCGACTTTCGTGCAGGTTTTTTGCCGATTGTCTCTTTTTACGTCCAAGCCGTGCCTGGTTATTTCGTTTTTAGCGCAATCAATGGTTTCACCATATTTAGCAAAAATTTGTCGTACAGCAACTAAAAAAATTTTTTTTTTTTATTTTTCTGATTCTTTTTCAAATACCTTTTTTCCACGTGATAAACATTTTATCGTGCAAATAATAATATCTTTTTTGGCAAGAATAAAAAATTTTGTTTATTTTACATTTAAGAAAAGCCATTTAATTTCAATAATTGAATTCATTATTGTTTTTGTTATTTATTTATTTTATCATATATGCTACTAAGAATAATTTTTTTGTGGTGGCGAAGCATCTTTCTTTTTTCATTTAATATTTAGTTAGTGTTCAGTTATATATATGTTTCATAAATACTATGACGAATTTTTGTTTTTTTGATGTGGCCTGAGACATGAATTTCAACACATTTCTATGGACTAGAAGCAAAAATAGTATACTTGTGGTGACCTAAATAGAATTTAAAAAATGTATAAACAACTGTTATTACCATCAAAAGATAAGATTTAAAAAAAGATTCTTATCATCCAAAGTAAGTAGAAAACAAGGATAAGATGTCTTTTCAGTATATTGTCCATTTACATTCCAATAAGTTTTCATAAACTTAGCATAATAAGCTGCATTCTACAAGTATGAACACTGCTGGGTTCCCTAATCTGTTTTCACTTCTAAATTGAGAATAACAAACTCAGTACCAGCAACTCTCTTGATAGCTGTTCCATCAGTATTATATGCACTACTATCCTTGTAATTTTCTATTATCAATGCTGCATTCAAATTTGTAAGATATAATTCAAAAACTTCTTTTAAAGAGTTTTCCTCTATAATTTCAAGATATGATAGCTGAACTGAGAGCTCTAGGGTGAGCTTTACATACTTCCTTCATTATCAGAAAGTGTGATAGTGTTGTCATAAAATAAATTTCTGAATGTCTCAAAGACTTCACAGTAGAACCTGATTGGGATATCTGATTGACTCATGGGTCTGTGGTGGCAAATTTTCACATGATTAACAACACCAACATGGCCTGAATCGGCATAGGTGCTAGGTGTTATTCCTTAAGAATATCAATATTGTCACTCCTTGACTTGAATACTAGAGAGAATATAGAGACTTGTTAAATAGACCAAATTTTTCAGTTACTGCAAACTAATATCCAGTCCAGTTCAACTTACTCTTCAGATGCTTAACAGCGTTAATCTAACTCAGAGGATGGTGAGCATGTATGTCGGATTCCTGGTAATTGAAGTGAAAAAATAAGATATAAATAAATAAACAAAATGAAATGAACAAAAAACAATTTTTTGTATATTTTTACAGACAAATAAATAAATAAATAAACAAAATGGAATGAGTGAAATGATTTTTATATATATATATATATATTTATGCAATTTGTTTCTTACCTAGATAAAGATGAGCAGAAAAGCCAAAAAAATTAATTAATTCGGGGTAAAGGAATAAGATTGCATATTTAGTTAAAATAAATAACCAAAAAAAAAAAAAAGCAAAAACTAGTTAAGGTTGTACCAATGGAGATTTTGACTTAGTTTCCAATAAATAGATATTTGGACTTGTTGTGCGTGAATATGAAATTTATGTGAATTTGCAATTCACATATCTGAGAAAATCGGTCAATTTTTTTTTTGACATTTTGATGATATTTCAAAATTTTATTAAATATGGCTATATTTCTAAACTGAAAAGATTCCTTGTCTCAAATTACATATAACTGCATTATTACAATTGTTACAAAAAAAAATTGACTGATTTTCTCAGATGGCGTCCCATATGTGAAATTCAAATTAGCCAATCAGAATTTCATATCCAAACACCCCACCCCAAAATTTTGATTATAAATTTCGATTTCAACTTCACATACAACAGACTCACCCGAAACACCTTTAGATTGTCTCAAAAGGAATAAAAGCAGACATATGTGTGAAAATGTGAAAGTAAAACACAAAATAGTCAATGTTGTGACAAATATATGCAAGTATTCCAGCTATTTTTTAACTATATAATAAATTTGTAAAAGGCAATTCAAAAGTTAATTCAGGACAAAGTAAGCAAATAACCAATGAGAAATATAAGTTAACCACTGTTATAAACAATATGCCAATAAATAAACAAACGAAATGGAATGAATGGAAAATAATTTTTTTTACGAAATTTGTTCCAAGAAAATTACGTGGTCTCCCCACTTCACCTTCTCTCTCTCCGACCTCTCCTTAAATCTTCCATCCCCCACAACTCTTTAAAGTTCTCCTCCTTCACAAATTCTTACAAATCCTTCTTCGCCTCTTCTGCCTTTTTTATCCCTCTTTTAACTTCATCTATGGTCGTCATTTTTTTTTTATATATATAAAAAAAAGATTTTAAAAATTAAAAAAAAAAAATCTTTAGAATAAACCACAAAGTCGACCTTCGCCGTTTTGTTGTTCTTATATTGTTATCATTGTTAATTACTTCCTTTATAGTATCAATTATTAAGATAATTCGTGACAAACCTTCTATCAGTAGATCTTGTGAATCAACTGAACTCGAATTATTCGTTTATTCGTTTTATTCAAGTTATTCGTTAATTTGAGCTATTCGTTTTATCTGTTTTGTTCGAATTATTCGTTTATTCGCTTTATTTATTCGAATTTTTCGTTTATTTGTTTAAATAAGCAACTTTTCATTTTGTAAACGATTACCAACATTCATTTGCTTACAATATACAGTATCATAAGTATACAAATACACAATGGATTGAGCTATTTTAATTCGCCTAAAACAGTTTTCAATACTTTGAATTGAAACATAAAGCCAACAATGTTGTTATTATTGTTATATTTTATTTGTAACAATTCTTTCTGATCGTTAATTGGATAATCTTTTTTTTTTTTGAAAAAATATGTACGCGTATATTCCTTTTTGGTCATTGGTGTGATAATTGCTATTTTTTAAAAATATTCTAAATATTAATCGTTTAATTATGTTACAAAAATTTGACGGAATTAATGAAAGAAAAAGAAACATTTGCTGCAACAAGAGCTTCATAGATATTTTTTATTGTCTTGATTCATGTTTAATGGACTATCTTTTACTTTCATTATAACCATTGTGTAAATGAACTGCCAATCAAATAAGACTGATTGGATGTTCTTGGAGAGATATTCAGAAGAGGAATCTAATTTTCCAAATGCAACATTTTGAAAATTTGTTAAAGCTATGTGTGAATGACCTGCAATTCACATGGGATTCTAAATAAATTCATATTAGCCATTTTATTGAATTCCAACATATATGAAGTATCACCGGTAAGCAATTAGTTGAATCTAGTCCATTTTCACAACAAGGCTCAAAAACTGTAGTAGCTACTGTTACAGCATTAACTCAATCAAGATTCTTCACATCTACTTCTGTCATAGTTGACTCATTTTTGCTTGAGTTCCAATGCACAAAACAAAGTTTAAAAATTTTGTATTCACCTCATGTATTTTCATCTTATAATTCCATAGCCAAAATAATTTGAAGTTACTTTATTTTCTTTAATGGAAATTTCTGGAGTTTCTTTTGTCCATTCACTTAATGAATGTATTAGGTGAACCCACTTTTTAAGAAATTTATAAAAGGATCTACTACATTCTGCTGCAGTAGTAATAGAAGTATGACTAACAAGGCTAGCATCAATGGCCAATTTTACAAATTCAGGATTGTATTCTTTTTTGAATAGTCTATGTGATTGTCTTTGAAATTCATTTGTGGTGAATTAATTTTAGTATATAGTTGAGTTATTATTAATTTTTCAAGTTTTTGGGTTTTATTTTGAATTGATTGTGTTTTATATAATCTAGAAACAACAAAATCCTGGGCTTTTTGTATAAGATGATGAGATAATATTTCTCCTTTACGTTTATCTTTTGGGTATAACATGGTTCCCATGAGATTTTGTGCATCAAATATTGTTTTTTATCAGTATTAGTTTGATCGATATTTTTATAAACTTTTTCATTTCCTCTAGAGGGCTAACAATATGTCTTTCAGATTTTGTTTATTTTAATAATTAAAATCTTAGAACATTTATAATTTTGGAAGCAAAATCGTTATAAAAAAATTTAAAAATGTTTAAACTCCTCTATAACATAACTGCTATTTTTTTTGTTTATTATGATTTTTTAGAATGACAAAAATCACATCAATATTTTTGAAATGTGGCTCTGTTATGTTCTAGAGATATGAATTGCAAGTTCCAAATATTTTTCAGAATTAAAAAATCTAACAATATATGCAAAGCGATTTTTCTTTAACTCAAATTTGTTCATTATAAAAATGATTACTAATTAAATTTATTGTTTGATTTCTGATTCAACACCAAAGAGATCATCAATTAAAGAATCGATTCTTACAACAGAACCTCTAGTATATTCTACCTACTTCTTTGATTCATTAGTTAAAGCAACAACAGCCTTTTCTTCCTTACTGAGAGTTTTACTAAAACATAGACCATTAAAATTATTACCTTTAAATATTAACATATCTTTTTAAAATAGTTGTAATAACAAATCAATAAACTTGATGTCTCTTATATTCTCGCTACAGTCAATATATAAATTGGTACATTTTTATTAATAGCAGCCCTTCATTGAACTAATCTGCCTTTAATAATCATTGATCATTAATCATATATCAAGTAAATAAAATAAATAAGGCTACATATACCAAAGATACAAAGGCTAATAAAATAATTTTAAATCTATAGCAAAGTAAATTGTGGTTTTGAATTTTGAATGCAATCAAGTAGGTATATGTGAAAACCAAGTGTATAAGCTTTCGAAAAATTCGTTTAAAGACATTTAGCTTTGAGATTTCTTTCATTATTAATCTTTATACGAGGTGGAGAATATAAAGAAAAATATATTGTGACAATTGGTACAATACGAGGATATAAAATGAGTTGTTGAGGATGTTCAATTTGAAATTTTAAATAAATTTTCAAATGATGATGAATATGTTATAGATATTATCTGAATTACTTAATAATAAAACGTAACATCATTTAATCAATTAACAAATAGAATAATAAATTTATTTTCTTCTTATATATCATTATTTGATATTGCTTAAAAAAATTATATAAATAAAAATGAAAATTGTGCTTAATGACTTAAGTGCATATGATCATTTAATCAATTACAAATAGAATAACAAATTCATTTCTTCTTTGTATATTGATTATTTGATATCGCTTAATAAAAATAAATAAATAGTAAAATAACAAAACAATAAAATGAGAATTATTTTCTATCTTGATTATTTCTATGTCTTAACATATTGATAATTTGTTCCAATTCAAAATGATGCTGACTAATCTTCATCCTATGGTCTTTAATCATTGACATATGATAAGAAATGGCTGCAAAAAGGTCTTCATTGTTGTTTCCACCATTTAATGTAGAAACATTTAAATTTAAATCGCGATTATATTGATGACAATTATTACTAATATCGTTATTAGTCGAAGGTGAAGATGATGTATGCGAGCTACTTTTAACATAAACTAATTGATGGGGTTGTTGTGGTAAAGATTGCGCTGATAGCATGTCATTATTGTTATTGATACCAGTCACTTTTTGAAATGGTGTACTTGTTGCAATAATTGATAATGAATTATCGAATGGAATGATTTCTTGATCAATATTTGGAGTTTGTTGAGTTTGTTGAATTTGTTGTTGAAAAATTTGCTGGGTTGCATTATTAATTTGTTGCGCATAAATTTGTCGCTGTTCGGAATTTTGAACCTGCGAATGTTGTACTTGCTGAAATTGCCGAACAGAATGTCCATCATAATAATAATTTTGTAGTTGTTTATCAAGAATTTGTTGTTGTTGGGACATTTTTATGGAATAGTATGATTATTTTAGATGGCTGAGTTGATGCGTTAACAAGATATTATTATATTATTATTCTTAATAATATTAGTTTATTAAATAAT